GAAGCCCATTTTCCGTACATTTCATTCTGGGCTTAAGATCTACAGGGTGAGATAAAAACTGCAACAAAGTCAAACCCCTTAATTTTTAAATTTTATTAAATGAAAGCAAAAAATAACGGAAATATCATCAAATTTTAGAATAACTTTAGATTTGTTCGAATTGGTCACCTTTGGCACGAATTATGGTCTTCAAACGGCCTATGAAACCGACACACGTTTCTCGAATGTTGCTCTGCGGTATTTTGGTCCATTCCCGGCAAAGCGCTTACTTGAGGTGATCGGCACTTTGGTATTTTTTAGTGCCAACCTTGCTTTTCAAAATACTCCCGACCCAATAGTACAACGGATTGGTATCCGGAGATTTTGGAGGTCATTGTGCGCTGGAAATGAAGCAAGGAACCTCAGTTTGTAACCATTCTTGGATGGTGCGTGTTGAATGCGATGGTGCTGCGTCATGTTGGAATGTCCAAGGTCTGCGGCCAAAATGTTTGCGTGCCCAAGGCTTTAATACGCCCTCCAGAATATTTTCGCGATAATATTCGGCATTCAAAACGTTCAGTTATGTTTGAATTCAAAACGTATACCTGAAGCATTTATAATAGCCTCGACAGCTGGTATCGATTAATAGGAGCGGAGAGCGACCATCGGCTGTCATGGCGGCCCACACCATCACCATGGCCGGTGCATCAGTTCTGGCGGGCAACTGAAGGTGCACATTTTCAGATGACCACTTTGGCATGTAAACACGATCATTTTGTTTGTTTACAAACGGCTGGATAACGAATGTTTTCTCATCGGAGAAAACCAAATTCGGAAGCGAAGCAACTATTTACCTCTTTTGAGTCCCTTTTGGAATTTCAATGGCTTTACCCCGAGCTCATTTTTCAATATTTGCCGAATGGAATATTGCGATATGTTCAGCTCACGAGCCATTTTTCGGCCACTTCGACGTGGGTTTCGATCAAGTCGCATCTTTATTTTTCGAACCGTTTCTGCTTCTTCCGTCGACTTCCTTGACGTTGGGCTACGCTACCAGTATCACGGTAACGAGCGATGGTACGAGACACAAAAGATTTATTCACATTCCAATGTGGATTGCTCTAACGATAGCCACTTGTGGTTTTCCAGCCAAATATAAAGAAATCACACTATCACGCTTGAATTCCATCAAGAATAACTTTTTCTGGAAAATTCCCACCAAAATGCTTTTGTACGCTTGTTAACAATATAATGAGCTGTCACTGGAATAATTTTAACTGCTGTCGGGCGAATGGCTTAGAAATCGCAGCAGTCTGAAGTTGGTTGCAGTTTTTTCATCTCACTCTGTATGGTCAACTTTTTTGGGTTATGTGGCAGATAAAGGCAATTTAAGAGAGCAACTTATTTGTGGCGGTGGAAAGAGGAAACATGTGGGTGAGGTACCAGACAGGGTTCACAGATATATATCATCGATACAACAAACCTTTTGTTAGCAGAAATGTTTGTATGGTAAGTGTGCCTAAGTTCGGCATGTCCCAGTAGTCGGCACTTTTTATTTTTAAGCCCAAATAAATGAAACTATTATAACTAAATATATTTTGTTTACTTGAAATATATTGTCAGCTATCTTTGTGTACAATTTCGCTAAGAAAAGATGATTTATTCTAATAAAAATTAAATTTTTGTCTGTGAAGGTCCTCAACAATCCATATTCTTAAGAAAAGTACAATAAAGACGTCGAATTGGTTTAAATAAAAAAAATATTGTGTTTGTTTTCTCTTTCGAGACGAGCTTAATGATCTGAAATTTGCAGTGAAAAGGAAAGCCAGATAGACACTATCACACACTCACCACTATGCGACGCGTTTCGCCGTTGGTTAAGCGGCTCATCAGGCATATTTGGTGTGGATGATGGCTTACAAGGGCCGTTCTCTGGAAAGTAGTATATATTTCGAACATATTGCAAATTAGCATATGCGAATTATACACTAGAAACTCTCCAGGTTCGACTCAAGTTCTATTGGCAGATCTTTTTCACAGCAAAGTTTTTTTGTTTTTGTAGTGATGGATTTTTTGTCCACAACAACTACATTGCTTCCAATGCATACACTTGTTTTAGTGCTGCTTTAGGAAGACGGGTTAATGGCTCTGAACGTAGAGACGGCAACTTCTAGTTGGCTGCACACCGAGGTCCGCGGTTCAAATCCCACAGCCAGGCTCGGCTGAATTTTTGAGTTTTGCCTTGTTAAGGCGAAGATCATATGTTTTATGATTTATGTGTTTGTTTTCTCTTTCGAGACGAGCTTAATGATCTGAAATTTGCAGTGAAAAGGAAACGCGTCGCATAGTGGTGAGTGTGTGATAGTGTCTATCTGGCTTTCCTTTTCACTGCAAATTTCAGATCATTAAGCTCGTCTCGAAAGAGAAAACAAACACATAAATCATAAAACATATGATCTTCGCCTTAACAAGGCAAAACTCAAAAAAAATATTATATTTTAATGAATTAATTTATTATTACTATTAATTATTACAAAAAATTGGTATGCCGACTGTTGGAAAATGCCATACCGACAATTGGCAAGTGTTGCCGACTATTGGCAAAAAAGCATTGTTTTAATAAAACTACAAATTTGTGAAATTTAATAAAAAGTTATTAAAACTTTATTTATTATTGCAAAAACTATACAAAATTTCGAATCTGAATCAATTAACTTTGTAATAATTGAAAAGTTCCACTCAGAATGGTTAGAGCTTAAAAACGCGAAAATCCTAAAAGTGCCGACTACTGGTACACTTACCCTATATGTGAAATTTGAAGAGAGTTGGATGCTTATTTCGCTTTCTTTGAGCGTTTAGTTTTTCAAAATCTTGAACTCTATGTGGTGGAAGGTATCAGAAGGAATGGCCCGATCTCTATCCTCTTTATAACAAAACTTGTTTTAATGAATATACGTGTTTTATTAGCTTCATGGGTATTCAGAATTTTGACCCTTTGTGGGGTAGGTACCAGAGGGAGTGGACGGATATATTCTATCTCCATACCAGACCTTGGGGTAATAAGGATAATGTGATCTGTGTAATTTGGAGACAATCGGACACTTACATCACATTTTATAAGAGTTGTAATTATTCAAAATGTTAATAACTTGTGGAGGAGGTACTATATGGAGTGAACGGATATTGTCAATTTTCGCACCTGAACTGATGCAAATATTAAGTTTTGCAAAGTTGAAGCAAACTTGGATTTTCCTTTCTCTTTGTGTAGTAAAGTATATTTTTTAAGTTTTCACCTTTTGTGGGGAGGTGCAAGAAGGAGTTGACCGATATAGCCCATCTCCCAAGTCAATCTAAGTTTAATAATAATATTACGATGTATTATGTTTGGACGAATCGGAGCTATCGTGCGCTCCAGCCATACAGACAAAGGGACGGACGGACGGACATCGCTAGATCGACTCCAAATATCCTAAAACGGATTTTTATACCCTCAGCCATATGGCTGCAGAGAGTATATATCATTTGATACGGTCAAAACGTGCCTAGTCGAAACATCGGTTTTAGACCCTTTGTCTCTTTGGACTCTCGAAGGGAGTGTCCGATTTGGTGCAAACTTGGTACATCGTAATATTTTTGTCAAACTTAGATCGAGTTCGGAGATGGGCAATATCGGTCCACTCCTTCTGGTAACTCCCCCACAAAAGTTCGAAATTTTCAAAAAAAAAAAAAAAATATATATATTTTTTGCACAGAAAGAGAAACCATAATTCAATTTTGCTCCAACTTTGCAAATCCTAATATTTGCGTAAGTGCTAGGTCAGGTACGAAAACGGACAATATCGGTCCACTCCTCCCCCACAAAGAATAAAAATTTTAAATAATTACAACTCTCATAAAATGTGATGTAAGAGTCCGATTGTCTTCAAATTTCACAGTTCTCAATATCTATATTAACCGAAGGTATGGTGTTAAGATGTATATAGGTACACTCCTTCTGGTACCTCCTCCATAAATGGTCGATATTTTCAAAAATATATATTTTTTGGACAATATTGACTCATTCTTTCAAAACCCACTCCATAGAGGGTCAAGTGTTTGAAAATTAATTATCAAATTCACATTAGCTGAGGGTATACACCTGTCGGCAAAACCGACCGATACTTTTTTACTTGTTTTTAAAGAGCTAGGTTCTAAAACCGTTATTTCGATGAGACACGTTTTGACCATGTTAAATGATATATACCCTCTATAGGCATATGGCTGAGGGTATAAAAATCTACTAAAAATGTGGTTAAAATCACCGAAATTTAAATTATTCAGAGGTGCCCCTACATGAGTGATATAAGATTCCAGCAGTCTTTTGCCTGAGAAGACAGAACCCATTATATACAATCCGTATTTTAAACGATTCCTCTGAAGAATGTGGCTAAAAACATTAGAATTCCGAATATCTGGTGGTACAAAAAAATGGGAGCTATAGGAAAAGTAGACCCACGTGACCCATTTAGGAACTTAACCTGCCAATTTACCAAATTCACATGTTTGCGAAATGTTAGCCTTCTATCCCAATTCGTTCGAAAGATAGGGTGATTATAGCAGACAGATAGACTGACATCGCTAAAACTGATATGAATTTTAGTCTGATCAGGAAAATATATACCATAAAGGGTCTAACATGACTATTTCCTCATCTTGTGTTTTTATTTTTCTATAACAAATTTAAATGGCATGACAAAGGTAATGTTGAAAATCGGAAATTAACTAAAAAATTTGAATAAATGCGAGAGACAAGTTAAATATTATTTTGTTTTGATCTACGTGGATTTGTATGCTTATGTGTATATGTATATGTTAATATGTAATATAATTTTTTTCAAATGTTTCAATAATCTTTGGAAATTTGTCTGCATTAAATATTTATAATACGCCTAAGCTCTATGGATTGACATTCGAATCTAATTATCTCTTATTTCTTTTTTTCTCTTTCTCTCTCTCTCTCCCGTACTCATTGTGGGCTATAGGTTCATGTTATCCAGTACTCTTTAAGGTAAGTAAACAGTGCGTGGAGAAGGATGATTGTCCATCATGGATGTATGTATAAACACACATACTAACGCAATTATCCGTTATATTTAATGACGCATACTCATACATAAATAATAATAAATTCAAAACCATAGCCACATTAGCGTTTGACGGTGAAACAATGAAGTGGCCGTGGCATAAAAATATAATTCCGGCCGTTCGTCGATGGTCATTATATCAAATAATTGATCTTTTGTATTGCCTCATGATTGTGTGGCATTTGGGAAACGTATTAGTGTGTGCGTAATAACAATGTGAACAATAATGTATGAAAATGAACTTATTCTAGTATAATTTTGTGTATTGAGGGCTGTTATATTTGTTAGGAGTGTTTTTAAAAAGTTAAATCATATGTCAATGTATTTTGCGATTGACCGTGGTAGAGCCTTCAGCATATAGATAAGAGCTGAATCATGAGAGTTAAATTAAACGAAAATATCAGTCGGTTTGTCGACTCACATATGCCTTCAGGATAAGGTTCTTTCAATATCCCATAAATCCTAATTGGCAATTTAAAAAATATTGAAAAAAATATTATTTTTATATAGTGGTGAACGAAACTGAAGAAGTGCACCAAAGTATCGAAACTTTGTGTTAATGAAAATATAGAATCCACAATATAACGTTTTTAATACCCTCCACCATACTATGGAGGGTATATAAACTTTGTCATTCCGTTTGTAACTCCTCGAAATGCTCATGTCAGCCCCAACAACGTATATATGTTCTTGATCAGCGTAGAATTCTAAGTCGATTTAGCGATGACCGTCTGTCTGTTTGTCTGCCAGTCCGTCTGTCTGTTGTAATCACGCTATCTTTCGAACGAATTGAGGTAGAAGGGTAAAATTTTGCACACATGATTATTCTGCCAGTATGCAGGTTAAATTTGTAAATGGGCCATGTAGGTTCACGTTTTCATATAGCCCCCATATAACGGTACCTCCCGATATTCGGTATTTTAATGATTTTAGCGACATTATTCACCGGAATTTTTTCAAATTTCGTATTTCAAGTTCCAAATGGATGCTTTAGCTTAAGACAGAAAATTGTCTGTGGAGGACCACGTCTTCGTATAGCCCCCATATAACGATACCTTCCTATATTCGGTATTTTGATGATTTTAGCGACATTATTCACCGATTTTTTTTCAAATTTGGTATATTAGTATCTCCCTATATTCGGTATTTTATCCTCTAGCCAATTTGCCACATTTTGTGCCCAGTCACTATTTGGGCCGAAGGCATAATCGGGCCAATTTTCTTGGAAAATGATCGAGGAGAGGCCTTTGTGTTATTGGTCCATGTTCATATTGAAAAGAGACGGATATTGATAACAATTAATTTCAACAGGACGGGATACGTCCAATTTGTGATAGCTAAACTCGAAGTGCCTAGTTTGAAAAATCAGATCATTTCGCATTTTATTAAATTTATTAAGAAACCCTTTATACTTTTTTAAAAGAAAAACCATTGTAGAAAAATGCAACATTAACTGATTAAAAGTTCTCAGTTGATCAAAATGCACCTTTCCATTTTGTAGAATTCTAGAGCTTTCCCTAACAGTAAATAATATTTAAACCAGTAAGGAATGGCCAAAAGCCGGGCGGGGCCGACTATATGATACCCTACACCTCTCGTAACAAAAATAGTTTATGTTGGGAATTTGTGTGAACCTTATTTGAAAGCGTATCATGCCTTTAGAGTAGTCACAATTTGGGAACTATATCCAACTCTGCATCAATTTTCAACAAATTTGACGAAGGCTTTTGCACCTCTGAGTACCAACTAACATTGCTGTATAGTGCATGATATGACTTCAATAAGATTATTATATTAAAAAGTATTTATCGGATCGAGCTTTTATATGACTGGACAAGTTCAGTTGAATATGAAAGAATCTATCAAAATTGGGCATATATTACATATATGTTTACCAATAACCGTAGAATCGGATGAATATGTATATCGAAGGTATATAAAAATCTGAACCGATCTCGGTAAAATTTGGCAGAAGTATTTTCGAGCTGTATCTGATGTCCGGTACCAAATATCCTTGCCTATTACGGGACTTTAAACCCCAAATCTGAACTAATTTTCACCAAAAATTTTGAAGTAATTGTTTCTAATCTGTGGCAAAATTCAGTCCATTTGGGCTGATATTAGCCATTTGGTGCACAACAAACCTGAAATCGGATAAAGATATGGGAGCTATATCCAAACTTGAACCGAACTCGACAAAATTTTCGGCACTTATTTCTGAGCTGTATCTTATATCTGGTACAAAAGATCATTGCTGTTGTGGATAACATATTACGTATGTGAGAGACTTAAAACTCCAAATCGGATGAAACGGTGTGTCTGATGTACCAAAATTCAGGTGATTTGGTTTAATATTAATGCGAAATCGGAGCTATATTTAAATTTGAACCGATTCTCACAAATTTCAATAGGATTCGTCCTTGGCCAAACAAACTTTGTTTTGAAAATTCCATCTCAATCGGATAATAAATGAGATCTGCATTTTGTTCACAAGAATACATGGAATGGCGGATGGACTGACATGCGTAAATCGACTCAAAAAATGATTCTATCTCTATCGCTTCCTTCTCCATGTTACAAAAAAATGCACAATGACATAATACCCTTACCACTATGTGGTGTAGGGTACGAAGAGTGACTCATTCAATGTTCTTGCTCTCGTCGATATATTTTTTACCTATTAGAAATTTTCGTACTCTAAAAATAGAAATATCGAAGTTTCTCATATTTTTATCGATCAGAAACAACTTTATATTAATTTGTACATTTTGTACCATTCTGTAATTTTAGTATTCTGAAAGTGTGAAATTTCGAAAATATGGACGCATCTGGTCCGGCGATTTAGAGAATAAGTAAACCTAAAACATCCTTCTTCTATCGCTCTCTCTCTCTCTCTCTTTCTCTCAAGGACAATTTAATACCGTACCATATTCTACACTTCAGTACTTCAAGAGTAGAATCTCTTTGTTTCACTCTTACTCTCAAAAGAGAATCATACTCGCCCTTATTCGAGTGAAACCGAAAAATAAGGTTTGCTCGTTTTTTCTTGTCTCTGGATTTCGCAATACATGGCAAAAATATCAGACTCTATTCCAAATTTACCAACAATAGTGGTAAATGTCTTCGCCGATATTGGATATAAAAATAGCGAATCAGCAAAGAGGTCTTTCTGGCCGTATATGTAAAATATGGGATCATAGCAAATTAAAATATTCAATAAAATTATTTGTCATAAGATTTTACTTTGGGGCCAAGAAGACGTACAAAGTCGGTATCTTGCGTAAACCCCAGGAATTCATATATACAAGGACATCTTAGGGTTAAAGCCAATATAAAATTTCGCTGTAGGCAGAAGGTGCCATAAGAACAAATACTTTACACAAAATTTCATTATAAATCTCAGAATAAACAATGGTACAATGAGGATAAGGAAGGATAACTTAAAAAAAAAAAATTTGCAAGTATAGAGGTCTACCTGCCTCTATATTTGGTTTGTAATCTTAGAATTAATATCAAAACATTCAAAACACCAAACAACTTGCTACATTGATTTTGAATAAATAATTAAAAACCACTAAAACTGAATTAAAAGTCATAATTTCTTTTCAAAATCATGTTCTACATATCTGTAAAGGCTTATTTCTCCACAAAAACTGTAGATTTTGTAGATGCATTCGTTGCAATAAGCATTTTGAAAACTCCCGAATTTGAATGTTTTCTGAACAAGTTTTTTTATTCTCTTCAAAATGGTATTGAGGGTATATTAAGTTCGTCATTTCGTTTGTAACTCATCGAAATAATCGGCCCTATCATGGTTGTCGTCGGCGTCGCAAAATGAAGTCGAAGCGACAATAATGATATTAGGGTTGTCGTTTTTTGTCGATAGCGACAAATGATTGCTATTATAACTGTCGATACAACAGTCGACGTGAAGTCGATTTTTAAGAAAATCTGTCGCCGTAAAAAATTGTGACGACATTGTATTTTTTAGTGGACGTTGATATTGTAACTTTTTTGTATTTGATATTTGACCAAGAAAATAACAACAGCAAAACAATTTGAAATGTTAGTTTCCGAATTGAATAAAAAAACCATGTTTGCCAAAGGGTTTACCAAAGGTAATTTTCCAGCTAATTTTAAATTAGATTGGAATCCATTGCTACAAAATTAAATGTAAACGGTCACCGATTAGAGACTGGCAAGAAGTATATTAAAGTTAAAATTATTTTTGTATGTTTTTATTAGTTAGTTTTCTAAAGTTCGTCTAGGTTTGGAAAAATTAAAAATGTAAAACTAAAAAACAATTGTGCACAATAAGGGTGAAGCCAGCAGCACTGGAGGTGATATTTTTAAGCAAATTACTTTGTCGCTTTGGGAGAAGTCCTTCGCGAATGTAATGCAGTTTCAAAAGTTACTGAATGCACCAGGTCGTGCATTTGAAGTAAAAAATACGGAAAACATAATTGTAACAGACGTTATAGATCATGAAAATGAGCCAGTGGAGAATGCTGATGACGAGACTGATGTAACTACTATCCAAAATTCTCGATCGCCCAAAAAAAAAAACAATGATAAAAAATCATCAAGGAAAGAAGAAACTATTGAATTCTTGAAAGAGCAGTATAAACTTTTGGAACAACACAGTCAAGAGTCAGGCAATGCAAACACATTTGTTTGCTGGCTTAGCACTCGCCGCTGCTCTACTAATACATTCTCCACTTCATCCTCACTTGAACTTAAGCTATGTAACGCATTTATAATATCCATTGTTTCACTATATTTTTTATTTTTCCGAAAGAGACGAAATTAGAATTCAAAATAAAAACAAATTTTTATCTTATTTTGTCAATAACAAGGGATTGTTGCCAACGCCTTTTTTAGTTGTTGCCAACTTTTATTTTAAACTGTCGATGTCGCTTCCATG